TTCCGCTTCATCTTCCCTTGGCCGCTTGGGCTGCACGGTATTTCAGTTAAGGGAGGGAGATTCAAAGCTGCAGTCAAGGACACCAGGAAAAAAACCAAAGGGTATGATAACAAGATATCCTTGGGATTTTCATACGGATAAAGCTAAGGGACTGCTAGGGAAAAAACCCTACATTTAATGTACCTGCGTTGTCCAAAGTAATTTATAACTTGAGAAGCTCTCTTCTTGGGCTGCACGGTATTTCAGTTAAGGGAGGGAGATTCAAAGCTGCAGTCAAGGACACCAGGAAAAAAACCAAAGGGTATGATAACAAGATATCCTTGGGATTTTCATACGGATAAAGCTAAGGGACTGCTAGGGAAAAAACCCTACATTTAATGTACCTGCGTTGTCCAAAGTAATTTATAACTTGAGAAGCTCTCTTCAAATCCATGAGAGAACACTTACCAAACATGTCCAGGATTTTACTAACACCTTCTTGATTTACACTGTAAGTGAATCCGTTGGACCTACAGTTCAAAAAACAAAAAAGACCAAAGCTGTTTCTCCAATAACTATTTCTTATTCCAGTCATTTCTACACAAGTAATCCCAATGAAATGCTTTCACAATTATGTCGCATCTCTCCCCCTACCAGCATACATATTAATTTTAAGGGCATGGCTGTCTTCTACGCAGATTATACTCAAGGACCGTCACGGTTTCTTTATCTTTCCTCCTGTTCGCAGCCCCCATGTCTCTCTCTTCCCTCGATTTGTAGGAGGGACAACTGCAGGACAAGAACATTTGTGCAACGTTTTCCAACCATAGAATTTTCAGGACCATCAGTCTGAAACTGAACCACATCTTCAGCTGATGTCAAATTCTGTTGCACTCAATTTATTCCTTTCGCTTGAAAGGGGAATTCAGCTGGAATTTAGCTATAGGCTTCTATTTAGCACAGTGACGTGGCAGGGGATGTAACAACAACAGTGCTTTGTGCACTTTCCAGGAGCGCTACAAACTTTTACCAATTCCTGTCCTGAGCAGAGGCAAAAGAAAATAGCTCGGGGTCATCAGCTGCCAACTACGTCCTGTGGAACGCTCGAGACAATGCGGGGACTTCTTCTGTCAGGGACTTCCATGGTTGTACTTTTAAATCCAGTAAGAAGCACCCCAACACTAATTAATTTGATAACAGGAAACGCACGTCACCGTATTTTTCTGTAACAACAGCTGTTTTCTTAACCTCAAGCCTATAAACTATGGACTGTGTTAAAAGACTTGAATGACTGAACTTTCAGTTAAGTTGCTTTCAGGTGTCAGTGCTGACAGCCCCCTTCCCCAGATCAGTAGTATTGCTGGTTATTGCTTACACTGCCCAATGGGGTCTGTTGTAACACACAGACTAAACTCTTGTGTTAAAAATAAGCAGGACTGTTCTTTTGGCTTATCAAAGCCTCGGGAGAAACTCTGAAAACCAAAAGGCAAGGGGAGTCAGAAGCAGCTTACTAGCGAGTTAATGAATTTTGCTGCTGGGTCCCACCCACCGGAGCATTTGCACTGTGAGGGGGTGCCATTCTGCTTCTACGTGTACAGGATGAACTACCTGGGTCTTCACCACGACTCGGGTAAATCCCATCAACCTTCAGTTGACTGGTGCTCGGGCAGTCGGGGTTCTGCGTCACACTAACAGCTCAGTCATGAGGAACTGCCAGTGAGAGACCACACGCTGACTCTCGCACACCGAAACGCCAGCGTCACTTACGTTTTCTTCTTCTTCACTGCACCTAGTTGCACGAGAGCTGCTAAGGCATTTTTCTGCATGTCAGAAGACAGCGCTTCGTAACACTGCGTATTCCCTACAGAGGAAGCGGAAGCACGGTTAGAAGTTTTATCGCTGCCCATCAAGAGGCTACACCTGTAAAATCACACTGCAGAGCGGCTCTACACACCCTTCTCGAGAAGTTGAAAAACAAAGTTGCGGACTCCAGGTATAAACTGCTTCTCCGTAAAGGCTTCTTTTGTTTCCTTTGAGAGGTATCTGAAAATTAACTAACATTTTTAAAAGAATGAGCATCTCTTTCCTTTTGTAATTTGAAATGAGCTGAAAGTCAGATGTGACCCTGTGAGTCAGCAATACTGGGACACACTGACAAGTGTGGGAGAACTCAAAAGGTATCATCACACAGAGCAGCTGAAATTTTTATTCCTCTTTAACAGGCATGAGGATCACAATATTAAAATAAGATTCAGTATTAACTATAATAGTTACCTTAGACATTAATTTAACATTCCTGTGCTCACAATAGA